CAAAGCACAGGAAACTGTTGGTTTTTTCTGCCTTTTGAGAGCCAAGATTAAGCTGGTGTGTAGGATAACGGGGTTGGGATTTTTTTAAACTTTGAAAAATAAAGTTCCATATGAACCTGGGTTTAATGGTGTTATGACTCGAGGTGTGCATTAGGATCATCCCAAGCAGAAAATATACCCCAAAAATACCTTAGTATTTTTTAAATATATTTTGGCATCCCAAAAGTATCTGGGATTTTTTTAGGAAACCAGAAGATAATCCCCCCCCCCCAAATACTGGATACTTCTGGGAATTTGGAAGCCCAGGGAAAACAGGTGAGAATATTTATTTATTTATTTGTTAAATTTATACCCCGCCCTCCCCCGCAGGGCTCAGGGCGGCTTACAAGGCAAGAAACTTGCTCATAAAAACATCAAATAGTTTAGTATAATTAAAAACATAATATAGGATTTAAAACCCAATCAACCAATAAAATTCTCAAACTAAACAGCATCCCTTCAAAAGTGTCGGAGAGGACAAAACACACACCAAAACAGGGAGACTGCTCCCCCCATCTCAGCTGTTTTCCCCTGCTTCTTCTGCAGTCCCTTGGGAAAAACAGCAGAGACGGGGAGACTGCTCCACCCCCTCAGCTGTTTCCCCCGATATCCTTAGCAGTCTCTTTAAACCAGGCTGGTTTAAAGGGACTGCAGAATATAGGGGGTGGTGAAACAGCTGAGAGGTGGGAACAATGTGATCCGACTGCTCAGCTGCGTTTCATGACTTTGCTGCTCTTGGGTTTGTATTTCTCCCCCCGTTTTTTTCATCTCGAATCTGACACCCCAAAATTCGGGATTTCTGAAAAATCCTGGATATACATACTTTGCTGGTATTGGGATCTGTGATTTTTCAGAAATTTCTAACTGGGGGGGTGAAAATAGACCTTACCCAAAAAAAACGGTGGGGTGGGGATAGCACACCCTTAGTTATGACGCATCCAGGGAGTGTAAGGCGAGGTTGAAATGAATACACTTCCTTTTTTAAATGTTGTATAGGTAAACCTGTCACTTCCTTCCCAAGCCTCCAATGAAGAATAAATCTTCAGACCTAGATGCTGATGATTATGTCTCACTTAACTTGCTAAACCGACTGACAGCACAATCTGTTGGCTTTTCCCACAGATTTTGCAGATCTGTTGTAAAAATTAAACCAGTTTGGAACCACAGGTACACACCTGAAATCACCAAGAATTCTCTATGTAGCATAACTCTTGACAACTTACGGCCAGGTGAGGTATTTATATCTAAAATACTGTAAGCTTGCCCACTAAATTCTGGTATTGCAAGACCTGCTTGGGGTAAATGTAGAAAGCATACATTCAAACAGTGAGAGTTCTCAGAAGTTAAGGGCAATAAAATCACGCACTTGTCCCACCTTGAAGACCAACAGAATTACTGTAACACTACATTTCAAGAGCCAAAGCCCACTGCATCAGGTGCAGGCAGAGAATTATGAGAGTTTTTTTTGTCCTAAAGGCCAGCTGCAGCAAAGGTGGTTGGGCATTGGCTAAGCCAGTGATGAGAGATAATCTTACACCCAGGTCTGGAGGGCAGGGAGTATGTTCAAAGTACATCTTAAAGGCTCCTGTCGGTTCATTTGAGTTGAATACTTCACCCAATAGAAAATATCCATGGAGATCGATCAAGATGGGTAGCCATGTTAGTCTGTCTGTAGCAGTAGAAAGTCCAGTAGCACCTTAAAGACGAAGAAAATTTGTGCAGGGCATGAGCTTTCGTGAGTCACTACACACTTCTGCAGATACCTGAAGAAGTGAGCAGTGACTTACGAAAGCCCAAACCCTACGACAAATGTTCTTAGTCTTTAAGGTGCTACTGGACTCTTACTGCTAGAAAATATCCAAGTCACAAATTACATTGCTGAATGACAAGTAAACTCATGAAAAAAACTGTTCCTTTAAAAAGCATACTGTAATGGTGGAAGAGAAACTGCATCAGCCACGTGGAAGGTATTTTTAAACATATTTAAAATGGAAAGTTGTACTGAATTTCTCAGTCAAGTAACTGCTTATGCCTTTGTGAATCATGTGATATAAGTTCAGACATAAGTTATTTGTTTCTTTCACATCTGACAGCTGCAACTTATAACAGAACTAGGAGTGATGCCTGTTGTGGGAAGAAATACAACGGAATCTAGAAGGAAGCTCCAGGTGAGTGTCCCAGCTGTGGCTGGCGGGGCGGCAGAAGGAAGGGGAAAATAGAGGGAGGCAAGCCTTGTTTCTTTCCTTCTGCTTAGCTATAAGGCAGGGCTGTCTCAAGTCATTTTGCTGCCCCAAGTGGGTAGTATGGGAGGACAGCCTCATAGTAACAGGTATGGTTCCCTCCACCTCCGACTTATTTTTTTGGGGGGAGGGGGTGTTATGCAGTGGCAGCTAAGGTAGAAAAGCACCTCCTCCTGTGCCATGTTTTCTGGGTTCCAAGAGTCTGGAAAGTGGTTCCAGAGATAATTACATGGTTGCCAACTCTGGGTTGGGAAATACCTGTAGATCTGAGAGGTAGAGCCAGGGGAGGGCAGGGTTTTGGGTGGGGAGGGACCTCAGCAGGGTATAATGCCATAGAATACACTGCCCAAAGCAGCCATTATCTCCAGAAGAACTGATCTTGGTCTTCTGGACATCAGTTTTAATAGCTGGAGATCTCCAAGTGCCGCCTGGAGGTTGGCTTATGTTAATTTGGGGCTATGCAGTCACAGCTAAGGTAGAAAAGCACCTCCTCCTGTGCCGTGTTTTTTTGGTTCCAAAGGTCTGGAAAGCGGTTCCATGGCCAATTACACGGTTGCCAACTCTGGGTTGGGAAATACCTGTAGATTTGAGGGGTGGAGGGCAGGGTTTGGGGTGGGGAGGGACCTCAGCAGGGTATAATGCCACAGAGTCCACTGCCCAAAGCAGCCATTGTCTCCAGGAGAACTGATCTTGGTCATCTGAAGATCAGTTGTAATAGCTGGGAAATTTTCTGTAGGGGAAAAGATTTGCTGTGGCTGGGGAACACAGTGATTTCTGGGTGATCTCCAGACCCCACGGGGAGACTGGCAATTTTACCTCAGGACACGTTCATTGACTCCCAACAGCAACAGCAAACTGTTTAGAATGTTAGAGGCAAAGGCCAATGAGGCCACATATGCAAAGGACCGCTGTGTTCCGACTGGCTATGGGAGTAGAGGAACAGCAAACTGTTTAGAATGTTGGAGGTGGGACTCAGGCAATGCAGCCAGTGGATAGGGACAGCTTCTGAGTGACACATCACGTAGCATATTGATTTGGGAGCGTGTGAAATGTTCAGCAACGTGCCACCACCAACAGAGAATTATTATAGAGAGAGATTGGGTCATATGAATGCAGTCAAGCTGAGCTACACTCAGCCATTATGAACTGCATGTACAAGTATATGAACACACAAAGGCATGTAATTCTAGAATATTTGGCAGTCTGGAAATCTAAGCACATCCATCACCTGGGTAACAAAAAAGCATATGGTTCCTTGAAACAATCTAAGAATATCAGATCCCATAAACCAGGATAGAAAGGAACTGCCAAAGGAATCATGATGGAAAGCAGAGTTTCTACCAGAGTGAAGGCACCAAGTCCTGATTTTTTGAAAACTCAGTCAAAAAGAAAATCATAAAAGCTCTGCATACCACAGAAGTAATAGCAGTATGAAAGTTGTGTCATAAATGGGGAAACAGAAAAATAATTTTCACATTATGTTGTTTTAGAAGACTCAGCATCTTATGTGCATTAAATAACACACACACAGAATTTGCTAAGCCACCACAGCTGCCTTTCAACAATTTGTATCCACAGTCGGATTTGATGGTAGCTGTATTCAGTGTTACATGGTCAAGTTCTGCGTAAGCAACTTAAGGGCTACAAAACATGTCATGGCAACAAGGCAGCTTCCATTATTTATTTATTTAAAACATATGCCACCTTTCCACCCAATCAGGGTCCACAAGGTAGTGAACTTAAAAAAAAAACATTAAAACTTCTAGACCATTAAAACACAGTTAAATTGAAGTAAAAATATGTAAACAACACTAGAAGATGACTAATAGCCATTATATGGGGGGGGGGGACGACAAAAAAGTCTTCACCTGCTGGTGAAAGACACCGGTGGAGGGACACACTCAACTCTCCCTGGGGAGGGAGTGCCAAAGTTTTGGTGCCATGATGGAGAAGGCCCTTTCTCAGGTTGCCACCCATCTAGTCTCAGAGGGCAGGAGCAACTGAAGCAGGGCCTCCCAGGATGACACGAGTGAGCAGGTAAGGTTCATATATGCAGGCCCTATCCCAGTGTGCCAATGTCTGTGCAGCTAGAGCCTCCGAAGGTGAGCAGGGTGTTCTGAACTTAACTGTGTACCACCTAGGATTCTTCACACGGCTTTACTTGCTCAGCCAAAGAGGCTTACAGCTCCATTCTCCTTTCCTTCATTTTTACCTTCGCAGCCACCTTATGAGGCAGGTTGCTGTGGATGGGATTGACTGGCTCAAGGCCACCCAGGGAGTTCCTATGGCAGAGTAAGAATTTGACCCTGATCCTAGTCCAACTTTCTAACCACCACACTACACTGGAAGGTCGAGTCATTTCTAGTTTCACCCAAGGTTCAAAGAACAACTCAAATGCATTCCTCATCTCTCTCACCGCGCTGGCTTGCCCAGTTTATAGCTAAAATGGGGGGACGTGCTTGAAAATACTGAGGGCAAATAGGAAAATTATCCAAATTAGATTTGCAGAAACAATGGACAATAGCAAGTTTTAGGACACTCAAAAGCAACAGTGTCAGAGATGTGACTCGGCAGCTCTGAGAAGATGCCGGCATCTTCCTCAAAGCTGGTAACTGCTCAGCTCTTTGTTTTGTTCTCCAGGAATGCAAATGAATGACCTGTTGTCTGTACAAAACGCCACCTGCAAACACTCACCCACACATGACAGGAGTAGCCCTTCATAAAGGAGAAGCATATTTATTGACTTTACAAAGAGGGCAGTATTTGGTTGCAACAGCTCCAATTATAGACAAATATAACTGTACATATTGGTGAATGGCTCAAAACTGTTACCTAATCTTGTTCTTAAAAACTGTTTATAGTCATTCAGCTTAACTGAATAAACAGCAACCTCATTTCTGCCCCCAAGATTAAAAATTCATAATAAATGTATAGGCTTTGTGTTACATATTCACAATCATCTGCCCTCCCTTTCATTATTCTCTTTTTAAATCCTCACCCTTATGAAGATGAACTCTCTCTGGGTCAACACTAAACTTATTTACAAGCTCAGTTAAAACAAGTTAGGAACCACCAATGAGTCCAACAGGATTTTTTAAAAAGTATAAGAAAAAAATGACCAATTTACACACACACGTATATAAAAAGTCAGTTTGGTTTTTTAAAGTAAAGGTTGTTTTCAACTGGGATGGCATCACATCATTGCCAAGGCATGGAAGTGGGCAGGGTGGCGAACTATCAATAAATTCAACAGCATATTTTACAAAAATATTTTTCTTCCCAAAAAGGGTAGCGAGAATCTAACCGGCAAGTACTAACTAAAGGCATTTAAGATAAGAGTGGTCTTCAATCCTTCAGGATTAGGAACTGACAGAACAAGAGCTGCAAGAAGATTACCGTCCAGTGGGCCTTGGCAAGATATTCCATCCGAGATGCAAAATGAAATCTCCAAGTAAGTGGGAAAATTTGCAGAGGTGTTTCATTGTGATCCCACAAAGTTTGGGGTGGAGCAGTGAAGGCTGGCATGGTCACACATTCTGGGCTAGCAAGAGTGTCCCAATATGCCCTCTCGCATCTGTCAACCAGATACTGAGTCCTTGTGTGATGCACACGGTTTTCAGTATAGCGGTTCATTCAAAGTTTTGGTGGCCAGCCCTTTCTAATAGGTTTGGTGTCTTTTAAAAGTACATGTTATTCTTCTTCGCTTTCATTTTCTGGGTCCAAATCTGATTCTCCATTGATTTCTTTTTCTACAGCCATTTCTTGCTCATTGTCTGATTGTTCCTCTCCCTCGTCATCTTCATCCCAGTCCTCCTGCAGTGAACATGTGATCAGTACACCTTTTCAAGCATCTGATTCCAAGGGATCAGGCAACAGATAGGAAGGGAAGGGAAATGGACTCTTACTTACATCTGAATCTTTTTCGGCAGCCATCTCATCATCTGATCCTTCTTCTGATGATTCTGTGAGCAGAGAACACAATTCAAATAGGTCTTCAAATAGCTGCAACAAGGGCTGTGTTACTTAAGCTACTGTTAAATGTGAATGTTAAGGTGAATCTGAAGTACTTTAGTTGGTAGGAGACAATCAGAGCTCACATTCTAACACTAGTCCCCAAACCATTTAGTGAAAGAACTACCGTGCCAATTTCAATATTAGCATAAAAGCAAAGCCCCATGCTATTCCCTGCAAGGCTGTCTGCTCCCAGTCCCCTTAATGAACATCTTGAAAACCAGTCAAAGGTTTGGTGCCACCGGTAATCTCCATGCACGGAAGAGATTTCTGTCTACTGAGTGCAACTTCCCCACCTTCCCCCTCGCGCTGCGGCCCCAGAATCCCCAGGACAGCATAAGAGAAGAGTTGGAAGTCTGCAACCGGAGCGGAGAATTGGTAAAAATCACTCTGCCTTTCATCCGTGGAAATCCTCTGTAACAAGTAGGCTCCATGGGCTTGTTATTTAATTAAGGCTTTGATAGTGTAACATATATGTAACAAGAAAACCCACTTAAATGTTTAGTTGGGACCCAACAAGTCAGCGCACCTTTCTCCATATACTCAGGCATACTACACATGCAACAAATGAGGTGCCAGAATGCCGATATTGTAGAATGAAGTGTACTGCTTTAGACTGCAGAGGAAGGCCTATGCTTTCAAAATTCTCCTACAGTAATGATTCCCAGTAAGTGGGAAACTACTAGAGCATGCAAAGGGCTAGGCCAGAAACTCATTCCCCCCCCATGACTTTTTTTTGGGGGGGGGATTTTACAATGGAGAGCATTAAAACATGACCTGCCATTTAATGTAGGACAGCCCATTTTATCATCTCGGAATTCTACAATCTCATTCCTCTGTATGTGTAGACAAGGCCTCAATTTCACAGTTGATAAGACTGCAGCAGCACATGCACAACTCTCCATCTGAATCAGAAGGCCAGGAACGAAACACACTGAAGTCTCCTGATTATTCCCAAAGCAACTCCACTGAATTCACTTCCTTACCTTCTTCATACACAAGCTTTGCTGTCTGGTTAACATCGGTTTTGTCCTGAGCCTGTTCTAATGCAGCAACCTGTAAAAGGATTTGTGGTCATCAGCATGAGCTATGGTTATGTTTTCTAAATACGCTACTCTACCAAATATGTGGGATGCTCGTTTTTCTTCATAGCAAGTACAAGGAATTCAGTGTGTGACTTTTCGTATTTTAATCATAGCTGCATTTTATAGCTACATATGAACCGCTGTATTAGAAAGCACCACTATTAGAAAGCACGCTTCCTTCATTTTCAGTAGTATAGAAGTATGGAGTAGTACAGAAAATAGCAGGATGAAGATCTTGCAACAGTTGAGCTTTCACAGTCTAATAAAGACCAAAATCTGTCCTTTTGAAATGGAAAGTTTTTAAAACCAGAAAGTGCAAATCCTTTCAGTCATGAAAAAGTTAATCGGTTTGTTTATATATACTTATTCTTAGCTAGTTAGCTTAGAATCAATTAGGTGTTAGGCATGTATTTCCTGCCAGAGAAAAGGAGGTGTTATTCCTAATGAAGTATGTTTGGGAGCGTCTATTGGCTGATCAATATATTGAGGATGCTACATGTTTGTCACATACACAAAAGGTGGGGGCTTTGGGGTAAACTTTCTCTCCCTTTGTTCCCACAGACATGAGTTTTATAGAACTAGGAAGCTAGTCAGGACTTGTTACCTTTAACTCCATGTAACCCTTCCCCGTTTTCTAGTAAACTTTTCTGAAAAGCTAATTATACGTGTGCTGTGTTGCTTATTACTCTGCTAAGTATACAACAAAATCAAAGTGTAAGGTTTGCCCTCCATTAAGAAGAGTATATTATGCAATCGAGTAATACCAGACAGTTATAGCAAGGGTACCCTTTCAGAAACAAATTACAGCTGGGCAGTAATATTAGTAGGTGGCTATGAAAAATGAGAAGTCTTGTGGCATCTTAAAGACTAAGCAATGTAGCATGGTGTCAGCTTTTATGGACCAGAGCCCACTTCATCATGAAGCATTATTCTCAGATAAGAAACGTTTGTTTACATTAACACATATACAGACAATATGGGCGCCACCCCACCATAATGGAAACCCTTCAAGTACAGAGAAAAGTTGCTAAATTCAGCAGGCCTAATTTGACATAAAAAGCCGTACTGTTTAAACGTTTTTTCTCTGAGTACTTGTGTAAGCCTGCCACTTTGTGCCTTTGATGAAACAGGGTCTGGTCCCTGAAAACATCTAAGTGTGATCCAGGCTACCTTTTTCATCATCTGAAATGAGCTCTCCCACCACCTGCCTCCCACCACAGCCCATTTATGTGCCTGAAGTTGTTTACGGAGGACAAAGGACACTGAAGAACAACGGGTACTCCCTCTCACTGAGTATCACATAGAAGAGCAACTAAAATCATATATAACATTTCTCTTGGAATAACATATCAGTTATAGGTCAAGTCCATTAGCCCTTGTATGTTCAATTCTGGTATTTTTCCATGAGGTGTGATTGGGCCCTTATATATTTTTTAAAAATTCTTAGTTAATAAATACATGTATCTTTTTATATACTATATATATATATTAAGATGTTATTGTTGGCCCTCTTTTCTATTTGACTAACCTTTTCAGGTTCTGGATCCCAGGTTTCTAGGTTCAGCCCCCCCCCCCCCTTTTGTCCCATCAGTTATTGGTCCAACAGAGCCATACGTTTACAGACATTTTCAGTACTTCACTACTACATGGCAGGGGTCTGCAAAGGAAAGGCGAATTGGTGGAAATGGCCAATTTTGTTGGGATCCAAACCAGTGTCATGGTAAAACTGCTCATCTTTAATGTGCCACAGGACTATTTCAGAAATAGCGTTCAGAGGCATGATGCTATTAAAACCACAGTATTATTCCCTGGAGAGAACATAATACCCATGCTCAAGAAAAAAAAATTAACACAGGGGAAACAAAATTCCCTGATGCTCAAACTTGCACAAGCTCGCAGATGAACAAAAGTGGCTGCTCATCCTGTAAACTACTATCTTTGCTTCTTAAGTATGAACAACCTACAGTCACCTCCCCATAAAAAACCCCTAGAAATGATTGTTTCAGCATGATGAAAGCAACTGCACTGAACTTCCAGGTGTTGCACTGTAATAGGTATCACAAATAGAATGCAAACCCTCTAATAATATTGGGATGACCAAAAGCATCAACAAAAATCAACCAGCTGCTACAAATCACATTCTCTAACAGTAAGTACTATAGATGCAAATGTTTTAATTGTTTTTGTCCCTAGTAGATTCCAAATAGTCTTTACTAAGGGTCAATCATCTTAACTGATACAGAAGCATAATTAAAGTGTTCCGAAGTTCTAATAGCTGTAACTGTAATGTTGCTTGGTGCGGTCTATGAACTCCTATTACTGGTAGCTTAGATATTTCACTTCAAATCTGAGATCAGGCAAATTCATTTTAGTACACTGGAAATCAGCAGCCTCACTGATCTATTCTTGAAATACTACATAGAAGAAGGGAGGGGCTGTAGCTCAGTGGCAGACCACCTGCTTTGCAAGCAGAAGGTCCCAGGTTCAACCCCCAGCATCTCCAGCCAAAAATATCAGGTAGGAGGTGATGTGAAAACCCTTTGCCCGAGACCTTGGAGAACCACTGCCAGTCCAAGTAGATAACACTGACTTTGATGGACCAAGGATCTGATTCAGTATAAGGCAGCTTCATGGGTTCAGTTGGAGATAAATACTGAATTGATGAGAGACTGCATGAAGACACAGACTGAAATTGCTTCTTTATGAACTAGAGGCTACGCTCAATCAAGGGTGACATGCTCCACAACTGAAATCATATTTTCATACTTTGAAGCAAAAGCGAAGAACTTCAGGAATAACAGTTTTAAATAGCAATTGTCTTAAGTTTGACTCGTCTGGAAAATCCATTTGATAAAAGGCAGATTTGTTTCTTTCTTTTCTTTTGCCCTTATTACATCACACTCTTAATTCTAGCACACCTGACAAACTACTGACACTTCCCCAACTTTGATAGCGTGTCTCACTGTGAACATATATCACTAGATGTATCCTTCCTATAGCCTACCATACTACCAGCATCAACAAACCTGGGTGATAAGAAGATAGAGTTTCCCATGTAAACGAGAGAGCTTCTGCAAGGTCTTCACTCTGCTCTCCATCAACTGATACAGCATTCCCAGCTGGGGGACCAGATTGGGCAACTAGAGGGGAAAGAATGGTCACATCAGTCACCTAACTTGCTTGGTCTCTGAACAAGAACAAGTGTGTGTTAGAAGTGTGTCTGGCTAGGATCTGGGAGACCCGGGTCTGAATCCCCACTTTGCCATGGAAGCTTGCCAGGGGCGCTTAGGCCACTCACACTCGCAGCCTAACTTACATCAGAGGATTGTTGCTATGAGGATAAAATGGAGGGAAGAGTTTTACAAGCCACTTTAGTTGCCCAGTGGGAACATGTGGGGTATACCTGAAGTAAAACTGGGAAGAATTTTCAGACCTTAATACATTATTACTGCATGCATGAAACCTCTTTCAAGCTCACAACTTTCCTCACTTCCCTTTTCATTGTACCCTTTAGTGACAGCCAATATATACAAGTGGTGCTACTCCGGTCTGCTCAAGTCTCCCCCCCCCTAGGTGTGACCTCACGTCCCCCCCCCCCCCTGTGATGCTCATTTTAAAGTATGTTCTACTGCAAACCATGCCGCCCTCCCCCCCAATCAGTGCTGCATGACATTCTTAGCTTCTAAAAATAAGTTGAGGTAAAGCTTGCATGGCTGCTGATCAGAACCACTCAATTATAGTTAATGTGCATCATGGATACTCAAACATTCATGACAATTTGGTAGCAGAGTTTGCTGCATTCTACTTCATCTTCCCTGTTTTTCCTCTTTCACCTTATCATGCGGTTGGCCTTGGGAAACTAACTCAAGTTGTGAGACAATTGTTCATGCAAAAAATTCCACAGTACTACTGCATAAATCTTCCCAACCCAGCAAACAGTCAGATATACAGAATATGAACCCCTGAAGCCAAAAAATCAATTTATCAAATATTCAGCCATTAGAAGCAAAAGCATCACATGGGTGGAGAGAGTCAATATTCAGCCTACAGGTCATACTGAGAACCAGTACACATCAAATATGTGTATAGGGGAGATATTGAGCACCATTGTTCTAATTTTAGTATGTTTAGTATGTTTTAAGCTGTATTGTATTGTTTTTAAGCTATTATGTATACGATGTTTTTATTATGGCAAGGTCTCCTTGCCCCTGTAAGCCGCCCTGAGCCCACTGGGGAGGGCGGGGTATAAATATGAAAAATAAATAAATAAATAAATATGCATGCATGCATACAGTATCTCAAAAAGACACCCACTTAGCAAATAATTTAGTTTGAAGATTTAAGGATCAAGTAAAACTTTTTTAACAGATCTGGTCATCAGCGATCAGCATACTTACTGTTGAAAGGTAAGATGCATGGGTAGTTAAAACGGACTTTAACCATCGGACCATTTGTGAGGCACTGGAAAAATACAATAAAGGGAAACAGAGGGTTACTAAAAGATTAAAATACTTAATACCTAAAGATGATAAACCTAAGGATATATAAATGAAATAACCATCTTAAGCCAGTGGTATTCACTACACACCATTTGTGATCTGCAAGGCAGTGGTATTCAAATCAGTAAAAAAAAAGGTGACAGAACAACTCCCACATCTTGCTTCTTCCACAAGCTGCTTCATACAGAGTGATCACTGATGCACCTAGCCCAGTACTGTCTCCTTTGACTGGCCTTGGTTCTCTCCGGGGGTCTTTTTGCAATGGTCAACTAGGAGAGCTCCAAGTTATGGCAAAGTTCTTCACTTGAAGTTGGAGGAACTTATAGACAAGATAGCTACTGGTCTGCCTTAAAGATCTAAAGACCACCACTTAGCCACTCTGCCCCAGTCTACAATACAGGATAATACAGCAGGTAACAAGATAACACAGTTGGGGTTGGATCCAGCCAGCTTTTCCACTCAATCTCTGCCAATTCCCCGCCTTATTACAGCCCTCATTCCATGGGTCTTTTCTCCATACAGGTCCTATGATACTACACATTATCACCATCATCACATTCAAGCAGAACTACTCATACCTAAAATAAACAACCTTAGAAGCGTCTAAAGCTGTATCGTAGCAGCACTGTTTATTACAGTGTACAGCAACAGAAGAAAAGTCTTCCTTTTTAAATGTGAGCTATTTCAGATTCAGGGCATTTTCACTTACCAGTATGGGTGACCTTGCAATCTTTTTGTCAGCTGGGAGGGGGAGGAAAGAAAGAGAAAGAGCACTGAGACGTTATCAGACTGATACAATCAGTTTTCTCCAACAACACTCACATACATAAATTGTTGAGCATTCAAAACCTCGTTTCAAAACAATTTTTTATGAACTAGGATTCCTGCTCGTTACTGCTGGTTACTATACTTTAGCCAGTGACTAAAAGAAATCTGCAAGAAGGGAATATGCAAGGACTTGTGGGAGGATCTCATTTCCCCCTATATCCCTCTCCCAAGCTATTTCGCTTTCCTATCTGGTAGTATCCATTTCCTGCTTCCTTCTCACCCACTCACTGACCTACCTTTTACCTGCCCTCCCCCCTTCAGCTATAGTTAGTATTTGTTTATTAATTTATATCCCACCTTTCACCACAATGGGGTAGGTTAGGCTGAGAGTGTTTGACTGGCCCATAGTCACCCAGTGAGCTTCAACAGCAGAATGGGGATTCAAAGCTGGGTCTCCCAGACACTAATCTGAAACTCTGACCACATGACCACACTGGCTATCATGGAGTGGCTCCTTTCTGCTGAACAGTGACAAGAAGCCACGCCTGGCTGAGTCATGCAAGTTGCTTGGCAGCAAGTCCTTACTCAGGTAGTGGTTGTCAGGCCTGGCCTCAATGAGTCCTCCTTCAAAAGTCAAAACATCCATGAAAAGGGCCCTCCCCCCAGCCTTGTACTGACAGAAACCAAGGCTAGTAGGCTGGCAATGCTGTTGTGGTTGCCTAGCAATGGCCACTGAGGAAATTCATTTGTTAAAGCTAGTGCCGTTGCATCTACTATTTTGAGGGGCATTAACCCTCCAATACATATTTTTTAAATGTTTCAGATTATTTTGCAAACCAGGGGGCTTTTTCTCAGATTTACAGAAAGACACGTCCTGCCTGTTCATGGCTCCAGTCTCTGGATTTAAGTACCCATAGATAGGGCCATGCTGAGAGTTAGATATACTGATGCCAAGAATATACAAACTTAATCTTGGTGTCACATCTATCAGTCCTAAGCTTTATTACATCAACTCACAGCCTTAGCAATTAACACCAAAATACCAACAACATCAGAGTTATAATGCAATAACAGTAAAAACTCTAATTTCCATTACAATTTTATAAACAATCATTAAGATCACAACAAAAATTTGAGTTAAAACCAACATCAATTTAGTCAGTCAACAAAATACATGGGGGGGGGGGTTCACATCAGTTTTCTCATGACAAGATATGGCTGCCCTGTGGTACAACAAATATTTCATTAACCTTCATCTTAACACGGAAAAGGCTGTGATAGCAGAAAGCTACCTAGTTCATTTAAACCAAAGAAACAGTTCTCATTAATACTGTAACTTGTATCTGGATTTTGGTATTACAGTAGCTACCTGAGAGCTTACCTCATGCAATAGTGGAATGACAGCATGTACCGGTATTCTGGCTACAGTTTTCTTTATTGCCACTTCCTTCTTGATTTGAAGCACCTTCTGTTGAAGAAAAAGAATCGGCAAAGAAACTTAACAGGTTAAGCTTGACACCCAAAGTACATAGCATTATACAAGGAAAACACAGAGACCCAATATAACATAGTGGGTACTTAAAATATACACTGAAGAAGAAGGGGGACCCACGATACTCGTGGGGGGGGGGGGGGACGCCCCACGGTAAGCAGCCGCAGGTGAGCCTTCTCCCGTCCCCGGCACCCACGGCGAGGCCTGACCTTGGCCCGCCAAGCTTTCCCCTCCCCTAGCAGCAGCGTCGGTGCCGCCTTGCTGGCTGGCCTGCCGAACTTCCCTGATCCGACAGCAGCAGCGCTTCGCCAGCCTGCCGAACTTTCCCCCTTGCTGGCTCGCCAAGCTTTCTCCTCCCCCAGGTCGGCGAGCTTTGCCGGCCCGCCAAGCTTTCCCCCTTCCCGGTCTGCCAAAATTTTTCCTTCCCTCCCCCCCGGTGGCGAGGCCTCGTCGGCCCGTTAAACTTTCTCCCTCCTCCCCCACTGGCGACAGTGGCGGCGGCAAAGTCTTGCCGGTCGGGCCAAGCCTTCTCCCCCCACCCCCGTTCCAAGAGCGTTCCCTCTGCATGCGCAGGGGACGCTCTTTTACTTTTTGGGGGATTTCAGTATTCCCCCTATAGTTTTTTTTACAGTTTTTAGATTTTTCTGCACATGTGGGGATCGCCCCAGATGTGCAGGAAAATCTCCCTGCCCCCCAGGTGCCCCCGCTGTGCGGATTTAGATATCTGCACGCAGGTGGCACCTTCGCTATTAGATATATGTAGACTGTCGCACTTCAGCTGACTAGTCCCAAATTCAAATCTCTACTAAGCCTTGAAACTTAATAAGTGTGTGTGTCACTCTCTCACACACTCTCACTCAGACTAGCACTGTGAAAAATATTTCACTTCTGGTTACTAGCTGCATACAGGTTTTGTAACCACATTACTGTGAAGAGGCCCATGCAAAATTTAACTACTAATTTTCACATTTGCGTGTGAACTGTTTATGTTTTTCATTTCTGTTAAGAATTCAAACTAAGACCAATTCCTCACTGACATTTTTGTCACTCGTTTGTTTCTATTGCTTCACGGTTCCCCCCCCCCAAAGTGTTTTGCTCTCTTTAGTAGTCCCAGAGGGAGCAAAACACATGTGGGGGGAAACCCAAAGCAACAGGGGAAAATGAGTGACAAAAATGTCAGTGCAGAACTGGTCAGAAAGTTCTCTTTAAGTAATATATATGGGTCAGTTCTCAGCAAGCTGCTTTGCTGCGTACCGGATACATTCATGTACAGCCCCACATGCCTGCCTCCCAAGTTCCTCCTCATTAGGCTTGTTCATGCCCATCTCCCAAAAGAGTCTTACATTTAAGATCTCAAGATCATTGCTTTCCAAACCCTGAAGTAAGAGCACTGCAAAATTGTCAGTCTGTGGAAGGCCTCCCGATGACGATTTTATTTTCATCACATCAATATCCATTGCACCAAGGCGGTCTTCAATGCTCTCCTATACGGGGGGAGAAAATAACCATTATTTATTAAGAGGTACCGAACATAAAGGGCGATGTCCTCACATAATCAGCTTTTAAAGTACTTTTTGATGCAGTGCACTGACACAGAGAATCACTTCTTTATATCACTAAGCTGTAACTGGGTGGATACACTGAATTGGTTTGCTTCTGCTATAGACTTCTCTCAATTCAGCTTCTAAAAGCCTTCTCGTTTAAGACTGAAACACCCCCTCTATTTCATGGAACTGCACCATACTCCAGGTGAGGAGGAATTTCCTTCATTTCTGACCCGATGAGGTAGTTAAGCATAATACACAAAGACAAGAGCTCCAAAATCTCGTTTTCTGAAGTGGTAACCTTTAAGAATTAGAGTTTAACCAACATATATGCATGACAAATATCAAACAAGCACTCTAATATTTTGTTTACTGATATTACGCACCAGAATAAATAAATTACTGATTAAGGCCCCAGAATAAATAATTTTCTGTACTTTTAGGAGTTGTCACCTTAACAATTCTCCTGCTACATTTTGTGTCAATACTACAAACATAAAAAATAACAGGTTCTGATTTATCCTTCCCCCCAAATATTACAAACCTTAAAGAATACTTTATTTTGTTTTCGCAACAGAAGGAATAGTATATTTTGTTTTATTGCTCCAAAACATATGGTTTGACACCAATATGAGATTCCTACAAGAATGCGGGGAAAAAAAAATCTGCCGCTACAGGAAAAATGGCTGTCTCTATAACTAACATAATAGTGTGTTTGGCCTTATCGACCTCAATAATATATATTTTGACACCAAGATGAGCATCCTACATGAATTTTAAACATTGCAATAACCATATTCACCATCTTGGTAAATGGCAGCTACAAGAAAAATGTCCCGAAATTGGAATGTCTACCCAAGAAAATTTTAAAACAGTAGTGCTCTGAAGCATACACGAATAATAAAATTCTCTGTACACATTTTTGGTGGGGGTATATGGTGGATTCAGGACTATTATACCTCATCACCCCCCAACGTGAGATAGGAGTGAATGTTACTCATATGTGCTGTGAAATACTGCCCCTGGCGCTCTCGCTTTTAAGAATACCAGTTGTTAAATGTGGGTTGCTGTGTTTTGTGTATTTCTATGTAGGCTTTTGTAGCACCAGATTTTACTATATGTGTAATAGTGTTTTATTGCACTTAATTTTTAAACTTGTTGTTAGCCGCCCTGAGCCATTGGGTAGGGCGGCATAGAAATCTCAAAAATAAATAAATAAATAATAAATAAATATTCCTTCATGGCACCATACCAGAGGAAGGTTAGTAGTGGTACTAGGCTTTGTTTTGGGAAATCTTGCCAACCATCTGTCATCTCATTAAGCAGCACCAGGTTTACCCAAAAAACTATTTTAGGCTAAACGAAAAATCTAAATCAGGGGCAGGCAATCCCCAGGCCATGTGCCAAATAGCGGCCACCAGGCTATTTTGTTGAGCATGATGCATGGGTGCTCTGCCCAAGGCACTGAAGGTGAATCCCTGAGATGATGGCAATGCAGTCAGAGCTTAGCTTGCTCCAAAGTACAAACCTTGTCTCTTCCTCATGCCCACTGTTTTTGACAGCATGCTTAATTCTTCACAGACAGACAATTCAGATTTTTAGAAACTCAGTTGAAAAAGGTTGTTTACCAGTGGTCTAAAGCAAGTCTACTTCCCATTGCACAGAGTAACAGATGACCAAGGATGTAAAATGGGCTACATTACTACACAAAAGCAAACACTGATTTACCTCTTTGCCACCCGGCTTCCTCTTATTTTCAACTTTCTTTCCACAAGATGAAGATCTGATAGCTGCACTATGCCCAGGAATTCCAGGTATTAGCATTTTGGCTTCTGAGTTGACTATGGGAGTCTTCACCTAAATAGAAAAAGGTACCTTCATGTGAATGCACATTCCAGTTTGATTGCCTTCCAAGTTTTTGCAATAACTAGTCTATCTCAGGATGTAGACAAGAACACTGAAACCTGTGTTTCCTTGGAGAATACACAGAAAGAACACACACAAGGTTTATGTAACTAGTGAAGAGTTAATGTTAACTAGAGGGTTATTTGTTTCCTGGTGGAGTCTGGGAGGAAGAAACAGCAGGAGGTCTGGAAAAATGGCTTCTGGAATGGTTGCAGTTTGAGCTCTGGGCCCAAGTTATAAGACATGTAAAATGAACACTGGTATCCTTTGTAACAGGCTCTGGTCAGTTCTTTGGGGAACCTAGGGGACATCTTTGGACTCCATTATAACTTTTAAATATTGATCCCGGAGCTCAGTTAATGCTTTATAGTGGGATGAAACTTTATTTAGAAGAGACACAGTGTTCTGCAGCAGGTAGAGTGATGGACTAGGATCTGAAAGATGCCAGGTCAAATCCCAGATGTGCCAGAACTCCACTGGGCAACCTTTGCCAGTCACTCTCTCTTAGCCTATTCCTACCTAAAACTGCTAGAAGGATAAAATGGATGGGAGAACCATGTATGCCAAGCTGAACTCGGAGGAGGAGTGCAATGAAAAAGTGATATTTACTATTATGCAAAATAAATAAAAGCAAGCTAGTGATCCACTGGCAAGTTCAACCATGCAGGTTGTTTTTTTAAAAAAATTCCCTTAATTCCTACAAATTCACTCATCTTGCAGGGCAGAAACTGAGGTGGCACATGGCTAGAACCCCACAAATAAAATACAAGAGCTGGTAGGAAAATGAATAATGGAAATAAATTAGCTGTTCTCCATGGAAGCAAAACTGCAAGAAAGATACCAACACCGTTAAATATATGACCATCTTGCTAAGATTAAAATATTTTCCAAACAAAGACGGAAAAGCAAACTAGTTGACTTGGTTAGATCACTGCCCTAGGAAACTGAAGACCATTGTACAAAGGAACTGAGATCCCTTGGTGATGGTGTTAATGAACTAATATCTATCCACAAAGGTAGTCAATGTTATAGCTAAAAGCTAATTTATTCTTTCAAACATTTATAGACTACCTAGAGTCCTTGACTGGAAAAAGAAAGTGCATAAATGCTTGATTGAAAAAATAAAATTGGCTTTTTAGCGGCTGTTTGACATACAAGTCCTTAGCTGCTCCAGTGAAGTTGCAACATGCCTGACACACATAATGTACTAATTACTGTAGAGTTGTACACCAGATCTCCCTAGGATGCCAAAAGTTGTTGGTAAGAGAGATGTAAGCTCGTCAGTCCTGTCTCTCAGTACAGGGTTTTGCTAATTCTTTATTAAATCAGGACGTTAAGGCTAGATAGACTGCTTGCTCCTTTCAGTACACATTCGTTAATAAGACCTCTCTTCCTTCCTATATGCTTTTTGCATTTGAACTCATAAGAACTGTATCAAAACCCATATGGTCTTCCTCCTGTTTATTCTACTCTGCCATGAGACCTTAACAAAAAAACAAGATAGTAACCAAACTACGTGCTACATCTTTAACCTTGAGGGTCAAACAATGTTTTAAATCTTTAATTAGGGAGATACCATGGGGGAGATTTTAGGAACAATTCTCATACACTCACTCGATCAAATATCTTACATGATTCAAACAACTAACTATATAGACAACGAAGTCTGACATATTCATACAATAATTATCAACAAAAACATTCCTAAAAACAGTCTGAGGTTTTTTCCCCCTTCACTGTAAACCTAACTCCTCCTCCCTATAAAAATACATTTTGGTACCTTATCATTCTCACCTTGCTAGCCAATTTCAGTGAACTATTTATCTGTATTTGCATTTCTTGTAATATACCTATCATTGATATGTTTAAATAAAACATTGTGCACATTTCAGATGATGTAACATGAATCTGAGTGAGGTATTTTGGTGAACAAATTATACCCTACAAATGATCACTCCCACCCTGGGATGGAACCCAGCCCATGGTTTACCAGGGAGCTGAGTGACTAGAATGATGCTGGCAAAAAACCTGTCCTGAATCTGACAGACTGTGTTATAGAGCCCACTGAAAAGCCTATGAAACAGCAGTAACAGCAGCAAAGGCATGTTACTTCTCTGGCACTGTTGTATCAGCTGGTTCAAAACCATCCCATTTCTAGCCAAAGTGATTGAGAAAGCAACAACAGACCAACTCCAGGTCTTCTTGGATAACTTATCAGCTCTGCAACATTTGCAGTCCAGTTTCAAGTTTGGGCTTATATGACAGAGACAGCGTTAGCAGCTTTAGTTAATAGCTTTCATCTATATGTAGACAAAGGCCATGCCTCTTTGCTTCTCCTAGTAGATTTATATGTAGCCTCTGATACAGTAACCATGCCATCTTATTGAAGGTATGTAGACAAAAGTAGGTATCAGGGGATCTGCACTGAACCAATTTAAATCATTCTTCGCTCAAAGGATTGCCACTGGATATTAGTTGTCATCAGGGTGGGATCTAGCCTTTGGAGTTCCACAGGGCGCAATCCTGTCCCTCATGCTTTTCAATCTCTATGTACAGCCCTTAGAGCAAATCATTAGTCGTCTAGGGTTGGCTGTCATCAATATGCTGATGACAAATCTCTTGGTGATGTGGTAGAGGTCCTGAATCAGTGGCTGTCTGCTGCAGTTAAATGGCTATGCGTGAACAAATTGAAATTAAATCCTGACAAGGCAGAGTGTTGGTTGGGAAGCTAGACATCTTGAAGAACATTGAGCTTCCCACCTTCAATGGGGTTCAGCTGACCCTTGCTGACTCTATGAAAAGTCTAGGAGTTATGCCTGATCCAACATAACTACAGTTATGTTATGTTAATGCAGGTGCAAAAAAAATGCTTTCTTCCAACTTTAGCCCAGAAGTTATCCCCCTATATTAACTCAGCCAATCTGGCCACCTCGACCCACAGCACAGCAACATCAAGACTAGACTACTGTAAATTAATGCACTCTACATAGGTCTCCCTTCAAAGTCAACTTGGAGACTCCAGCTGGTGCAGAAGATTGCAGCATGATTATTATCAGGAGCTAGGCAGAACACACATATTATTCCCATTCTGCAGTTACTCCACTGGCTGCCCACGGTTACTGGGCACAATTCAAGGTACTAACTTTCACAAAGCCCTTAAGAACATAACAGAAGTACTGGATCAGGCCAATGGCCCATCCGGTCCAACACTCTTGTGTCACACAGTGGCCAAAACCCAGGTGCCACCAGGAGGTCCACCAGCAGGGCTAGAACTCCAGAAGCCCTCCCACTGTTGCCACCCAAGCACCAAGAATACAAAGCATTACTGCTCCCAGAAATAGTGTCCCATCTATACCTTGTGGCTAATAGCCACTGATGGACCTCTGCTCCCTTCATGGCCTTGGTCCCTCATATCTGCATATCAGCGTCTTCCCCATGCTTCACCATGACGGCTTCACTCATCTAAGCAGGGCCTTCTGCAAGTGCCACCCTGCAAATGTGCAAAATCAACAACTTCCCCTACAAATGCATTCTGTTGTGCATCCCACCCTACGGAATGGTCTTCCTGGTGAGCTCAGGAAGCCCTTCCCCTCCTAGAATTATGCAAACTATGAAAAATTAATTATTCCGCAGGGCTTTTTTAACACAGGTAACAGGACTGTTCTGAAACAAGATGGTTCAGAAAAATGCTTTGGTAAAGGGATAGGGACTATAGACTCTACTAATGCATATAGCATGTACTGACTGTTGCTGTACGTATGATTCCACTATGTAGTTTCTGCTTTGTAGAATGCATCATAGTAATACTTATGCTTTGTTTTCAGTCATTTCAGATTTCTGCAATCTAATTTTTACTACTTTATTTGATGTCCCATCCTGCTGAGTGTTTTGACTTAACACTGTGTAATCCGCCTTGAATCTCAGTGAGAAAGGCAGGCTAAAAATAACATTAATAAATTCTTTACAGAAATCATATGAAAACAATGCATGGAAGAATACCTTCCACACCATGCCTGATGATCTATGCAGATTCAGGACACATCATTTGCACAGTATGCAAACCTATGGGTTTTCCCTAAAGTCCTCAAGATTACACTAGTGACATAATATTGGGAGAAAGGGATCACAGGTATAACACTACATACATGACTAGGTCAGAACTTGCAAATTTACACAGTACTTCGCTCTGATTAATAAAGCAGCTCTCTTTATTGTTCACTATATGCTTTAAAGAAACTCTCCTACTTACAATCTAGCCTTTGGGTGGATTTTGTTTGATCCTAATTACAAAGGGTCCTAGAACAAAGAGACATGCCTATATGAGACACGTGACCTTCCTTCCATTTGTTAAGCATGCTCAGACAGCCAAGAGGAAGTCCTCAAAGGAATTCAGTGAAAAGCGAAACCAAGATGGAAGTCATCACAGCAAGCCCAACATTACCTTCAGTTTTCCAGTTCTTGTGAAGTTAGCTTATCAAAAATCCTGTACCTCTTTTGAATTGAAGGCTACAACTGTCTATATATGCAAATATACAAGTGAGGCAAAACCAAGAGAACAAGACTAAAGGAACAGGAATTAAGGCAATTGTGATATTTATCTCCATGCATCCACATTATCCAAGCATTTAAACACGCACACAGTAGAACTAGAGTTTGCAAACTAGAGATAATGGATTGTATCCCACTATCTTTAATTGGAGTGATGGGATGTAACCCATAATTTGGATTCACTGATGACCATGAGACAACATCTGTATGTCTTAGACAAGACACCCCAGAATATTATCAGCAATTTATCATTATCGATTGGGGTTGCCAATCTTTTTGAGCCTGTGGGCACTTTGCAGTTTTGACACAGCATTGTGGGTGCGGCCACAAAATGGCTGCCACAGCTTACCTTCAGTCACACCGTGAAGATTCTTGTGCTGTGGTAGCAGCTGCCGCAAAAGCAACATCTTTAAAAATCTGCACAGCCACTGAAACCTCCAGTGGCCAATATGAAACCTTGCCCTACCTCGCCCCACCCCCTTTCTAAAAACACTTGGTGGGCACCAGGAGAGATATTGGTGGGTGCCATGGCGCCCACGGGCATCACATTGGGGACCGCAGTTTTACATGGTACCATTAAAATAACCAGAATCTGAATTAAAAGAAAAGCAGAGAGGTCCAGTTAAAAATAATCTTGAAGTTTACCTTTGTTATAGCCATTTCTGTTTTAAGTGCCAGGGTCTTCTGAACATCCCTCACTAAGCATGTGTGAGATTCTAGAGTATTTAGGGTCTACAACAGGGAAAAAAAGAAGATTTAAGAAATTGTGTAGAAAGATATTTTAACATTTTGCAATATATACATAAATGAAACCTACAAGTTTAAATTAGAATCGATCTACAAAAACAAGGGTCTTTATGAAATGTTACACTTTTATTTTGAAGCAGATAACACAGAGATCAAGGTTTCCTGTAACAGAGCAAGAATGACTGATATGAAATTGTGTACAATAGCAGCCACATCAGCATAAAGAACAAAGTTGCAAAAAGATTGCACGTACCACTCTCTCAATGACAGGTTGTAAAGAATTTCCATACACAAGTATTAAGGACTGCTTGTCTGAACAAAATGCAGCTGCCAGAATAGGAACTGGCTTTGGTGTGGAATCGATACCCTCTCCAGGTGTTGCTATCTGGATAGTACGGCTTGATGTCAAGGGCTTTTTGCAGTACCTGCAAGGCAAGGAGCCTGATGAACAACTGTAAAGTTATTTATTTTCCTGCATAGCTTGCAAACCTCTTCATAACAGAACTTATCCTCACAACTTCTTTGCATGTGGCAGCTATTGTGCAGTTAATCTGTGCCAATTCTGCAGTTGTGACTGCCACAAATGGAATTAGTCATGTCAATGTCATACATTGAACTCAGTAGTTTAAGAATATAAAAGAGCTGCCTTGCAGGATCCAACCAAGAAACACTTTGTTGAGCTTTCGCCCAACCAGCCACACTGCCTCAGATGGCACACTTTTGACATGACAACCTGCCTAAGGGTACAACCAACGAGATGGTACACAGTAGAAAATGAAAACCACAAGGAAAATAACTGTGTAACAAACCACTCAAACCTACACTTATATAAACGTTTAGTCTCTATTTATGCAATAAATTGCTACAACACATTCTAGTGGTACTGTGCCTGCAGTACAAACCAAGCTAACTCTTATACTGTACTATATTCACTCACAAGTTAGCAATGCAATAAAGGATAGTATGTTCAGTTCATGCAATCTCCCTTTGGGAAAAAATAGGTTCTTACTAACAGTTCCACTATTGATGTGGGCGTTGTTCCTGTGATTTACTGTCTCTTACATTCTGTAAGTGTAGTAAAGTTCCTTAGGTTTTGCTCCAATTAATATTGAAAGAATGACTTACACCACATCAAGTAGAAGCTGGGAAATAAATACTGTTGGCTTGGTTTGTACTACAGGTACTGTACCACTAGAATATGTTGTAACAATGTATTGCATAAATAGAGATTAAAAGTGTATAGAAGTGTAAATTTGAGTGGTTTGTTACAGTTATTTTCCTTGTCGTTAACCTGCCTAAGAGGGCAACTAGACGACAGCAAGAGTTGACTGAAAACTGCACGTATCGTGTGCTGAGATCAGAAGAATGTTTGCCATTTCACAGGTTAGCTAAGGCAAGTTAAACTGCCTAAAGTGTGAATCTGTAAGCCAAGCTTGACCTCAAAGATCCTAATTTCACAGTCATCTGCTTCAGCCATAATTGAAGTACTTCTACAATACAGAGGAAAAAAAATGGAGTATAAGAGTATCCAGTGCTTTAGGTACTCTGCTGCAAATGAAATCTGCCTTCCTACTCCCCTCGTAACTTGCAATCAGGGTGTTTAAGTACACCAACTTACCCATTCAAAACTTGCTCAAATAAGTGCAACTGCCCATCTCTGCATACAACTGCTAGTTTCACAGGCTGAGAAGAATAAAATTGTTGTTAGTTTCAGAAGACTATAACCATCATCACTATTACTTCCTCTCACAGCTTGAAAATTTTTACAATAGGTCAGGATGGATTCAAATAAAACAGAATTCTCATTTACACGTTATTTTAACCCAGCTTTTCTGACATACTAGCTCAAAGAAGCTAACCGCACATGTTGTCAATATCACCAACAATAATTTAAAAGATAAACACAAATTGGTTGCTATAACAATATATGATTAAATACAGCCTTTTATTTATTACAGCAGGCTTATAGCCCACCCTGCCCTGCGCAGCAGGGCTCAGAGTGGGTCACAACATTTTAAAATGTCATTAGACAAGAAAAATTCAACAGTAACATTAAATTACAATATAACTAGTTCTACAAAGGATGGCACAGTAAAGTCAAGGTAAGAATGGCCTGTTAGGACCTTCTTCAGAGGTCAAACACAATGAGGAACAAATTGGCTTATACCACAATACATAATACAATTATACGGCAGGAATCAGAAAGGAACTGCTGTAAAAAAAATTTAAAATGTGAAATTAAATACATGTAATAAAATGGATAAATGAACAATGCAGACAAGGGGGGTGGCTTTGGTTATATAGGATAGAATGGATTATATAATGGAGGCTAATAGACAGCTTAATAATACCCTACATTATAGTGTAAGTAAAGAGTAAGTAACCTACAGGCAGGTTACATATCCAGATCCACCTATGACTGTTACAATCTGAAAATAGAACCCCACAGTCCTACCTTTTACCCCAAATGCACAAAGGGGTCTTGCCTGTTCCTGGCAGACCCATAGTCTCGGGATGTGGGTCCATTTTGGAACCACTGGCCAGTTATCTGGATGAATTTTTAAAACCGTTCATTGCAAAAATTAATATATATCTAAGGAACACTATGGATTTTTTTGGGACATAAGATCATGATGAAACATGATAATATGCTCTGTCACTTTGGATGCGCTATCGTTATATACCAACATTCCACACAATGAGGCCCTAGACTCTAGGGCCTAGAGATACTTCAAACAACATTGGATAGGAGGCAAAGTGATCTAAATTCTCCCACTGTCTTTTTATGCCATATAGCAGAAATATACTTGAAAAGGAATTACTTTCAATTTCAAAACAAATTTTTGGCAAGTGTCTGGAACTGCAATGGAGTAGAAACTGGCACTGGAATTGGCGAATCTTTTTATGAATAGATTTGTTTATTTATCCATTTTATTATATGTATTTAATTTCACATTTTTTTATTTTTTACAGTAGTTCCTTTCTGGTCCATTTTGTATCCATTTTGTATAGCTGTATTGTATTATGTATTGTGGTATAAGCCAATTTGTTCCTCATTGTTTTTGACCTCTGAAAAAGGCCCTAACAGGCTGAAACACATCAGGTCAAGTCCACTGGCCCTTGTGTATATATGATTTTAGAATTTTTACATGAAGTGTGATTGGGCCCCTAAATGTTTTTTAATTCTTTACAAATAAATACATGTATTTTTACATATTACATATTAATTGTTGGCCCTCTACTCAGTTTGATTTACCTTTTCAGGTTCTTGATCCTAGTTTTCAGGGTTAAGTTTGTTTCCCTTTTTTGTTCAGTTATTTCTGCATAGACCTGCTTAGGAGTGTTCCCCACCATTAGAGCCAGCCCTTTTTAGGAGTCATAATTAGGAAATAGTAGACACTGCACTACTCAGAAAGTTGGAGACCGTAAAACAGGTGTACAAAATCATCCAATGATCTCTGTATGATCTTGTATGTGTATACTAGCCTGATACCCGTGCTTCGCTACAATATTTAAGTTCCATAAATCCAGTTATAGTACTGATGATGTGAAGTTTGAAAGGTAACATTTGTTGTAGGAATTCTAATGGAGAAGACTGTAGCGTAAAGGATGAAGTGAGACATACGTACTTTTCCCGCCCTCTACCGAAGGACCTCTCTGTAGACCACAGTGGTGGCTCTGCCCTCAGGTGGTAGGATCACCAGGCTGCTTGGTGAGCTCACTCTGGAGCAGGCTCCTAGAAAAGTCCTTTATTATCTCCCCATGGACATTCATAAACTCAATTTCCATGCTGGCTGTTATGAGAAATGTCTATTCAGAAGTCTTGAATCACTGATTTCTTAACTATCCTCAACTGTCTACAGTCTCTTTTAACTGTGTTTTTACCTCAAAACACTGAGATCCACAGCTGAGCAATCAGAGGGAGGTGGGTGCAAACCTGGCCCGTAGCTAACATGGGGCCCACGGGGCCTGGCCCCCTAGTGTTTCTTCTGGGCCCCCTCCCTCCAGGGCTGCCCCCAAAGTGCTCCAACTGACCACCTGCACTGTACTTTCATTTCATTAGCTGGTGGGCCCCCCGAGGCCCCCTCCCAAACAATTCCCTAGCTACGGGGCTGGTGCAAACAGGCAGGTATTACCTCAGAACTCAGATCTACACAGTTGACCAATGGGGGGGTGCAAGGAGGCAGCAGCCTGGAAGCCACATAGGAATCAGTGGGGGGAGCACATTTTACCCCTTTTGACCCACTTAGGGGTCAAATTTCTAAAAATCCCTTCTTAGTGAGCATCTACATCATGGTAGGAGTGCTCTCCCCGAATTTGGTGTTTCTAGGTCCAGGGGTTTGGCCTGGGCGTTGATTTTACAGTAAAGGGACTTTCTTTTATATAGAGAGAGATGATAGACTCTTGTTAGATTCTGGATTATGTTATGACACCCAATAGGAAACCTCAAACAATAAATGCTCAATAGGTTAGATCAAACATCCGAACTAGAGTAGCTTCCTTTAAGTTACCTCAGAAACTTAGTACCAAGAACTTAAATTGCATTACCTCTTCTTTGCTTTCTGATATCGTGAGGTCAACATGGATTGGTTCGTCTGTAACTGTAAACGACATGACAGCATTCTTTTCTTTCCTGTCTGACCTCACCTGCCTTGAGAAACAACAGCACATTGTTAAAATAGACAACTGTTTTCTTATAAATGAAGAGATGGTCAAATCTCTCATCAGGGACTGCTGTCACTTCAGTGCAGTGTTAGATAACTTTAACGGTAATGTGTTTAACCCTACTGAACACAGCAGCTTTTACTTCACAACATACTAGAATACAGTGACAAAGAGGAGTATGCAAGAAAAAAACCCCCGCATTTTTCTATTCAAGTCTATTAGACCCCCCCCCCAACAAAAAAAATGGGTATTTCCCAAAAAACCCGGATCCCCAAACCGATATTATTCAGATCCGGGATTTTTTTTTGGAAATCCCAACTTTTTTGGGTCCAATAGACCCGAGAAGAAAAATACCGTGTTTTTTTTTTAAGCCAGCCTTCCCCTGGGGCTGCCTTGACTTCTCCTGCAGCATGGTTTAAACTGCACCGCAGGAAAAGCTGGCCCCAGGATCTGCATACAGTCAGGAGCTTTCAGCTCCTTCACCCCAGCCGATCCTGGGCTGGCTCCTCTGAGCTGCAAGAGGAGCCAGCCCCAGCTGAGGCTGGCATGGAGCTCTCAGCTGCAAGAGAGAATCAGCTGGGGCAGCGGTTTAAACAGAGCTGCAAGAGGAGCAAGCTCTCAGCTCCCACCGCCCCAGCTGATCCTGGGCTGACTCCTCTTGCAGCTTGGTTTAGACAGAGCTGCGAGAGAAGCCAGCCCCAGCAGAGGCAGTGCGGCGTTCTCAGCTCCTGCCACCCCAGCTGATCCTCTCTTGCAGCTCTGTTTAAACTGAGCTGCAAGAGAGGATCAGCTGGGGAGCAGGCTCTTCCTGCAGCTCGGTTTAAATCAACCTGCAAGAGGAGCCAGCCCCAGACAAGGCAGCGTGGAGCTCTCAGCTCCCCCCACCCATTCAGTATACCTGAATATACCCGAATAAAAGTTGGAAAATTTGGCTCAGCTATACCGGTAGCCAATCAGATTCACTGATCTGTATTTGGCTTAAATGATACCCGAAAAATACTAGTAAAGTATTTTCTGGGTATTTTTCTGGCTTGGTTTATGCCAAATGCACACCCCTAGTTTGAAACTATGTGGTGTTTGCCACTCATCCCTTGGGCAATGTCAACATGCCTAGAAATTGCTCCAACATGGATAGCAGTTGCCCAAACCCACCGTACTGAAAACAAAAGCTCACCTATATTGTAGGAAGCATGTTTACAGCCCCTCCACTGACACAGCACAACCAATTAAGACCAATTTTCATGAATTAACACTGTCTCAAATGGAACATTAGAAACAGAATTCTAACAACATTAATTACTAAATGATATGTAGATAACAAAACAAAAGCAATTTCAAGGAATATTTTCATTTCACAAAAATAATAAAAGGGTGCCTATGAAGAATAAAATGATAATACCATACTATTGTATATGGAGTACGTTCACATACAATCATAAATATTCAACTCACACTTCTATTTTTACTATGCAGTGTAATTTCAAGTCTTCTGGTACAAAACAACACCCAATACAGACAGCCATGCTTAAGTACGTACCACACATTCAGTAACCGGTCGTGCACTGCCCCAGACAAGAAATAGAGCCCAGTAATCCCATCAAAGGGTTGGTTTTCATTGGGAGGCCTAACTGTGATGAATGTAAGCGTTGAAACTGCTGTGGCATGTCCTGTGAAATGCTGGAGAAGAAATTTTTGAAATTCTGTTTCAGACAGGACAAATAGAACCTACATGGCAACATGTTAAAACAAAGTCTGCAACAAAAATTTAAGCTTAACAACCTGACAACTCTAATACCATTTCTTAGAAATAAGTTCTGATATCAGCTATTTCTCACACTCAAATAAACTCTGTATCATAATGGCACACATTAGAACCATTAAATCCCACATCAATGACCCTCTATTTTACAAATGGAAGTTTAAGCTTTGTGTTTGAAACAGATGGAAAAGACAGGCAGGGACATAACTCATAAAATAATCTACTATATTGGGTCAGTATAATACGGAGCCTTTATTTTATAATACTTCAACGCCCTATTCAATTTCCATGAAGCCTCTATTAAGAAGGACACTGGTTCAACACCAGAAAGCCTACAGCAAATTACTTTCACCCAACATCCTATGTAACAATTCATCTTGAGATAGGAAGAAAAGGTGTGTTTGCCATTTTCAGGCATTCTCCCCATAACAGAATCAAAAAGACCCACTTCCACCAGCATTTTTCTGACAGGGAGCATGTCTTAACATGGGAGGGCACACAGCAAAAACATTGGAACATGAAATTAGGGTAGATGACAGTTTACTGCATTAGTGCCACAGACTGCTGGCAGCGCTCAGACACAGCCAAGGAATTTAATGTCCTCATTCAACTGTCAGCCAGCTGAAACCACATTTGAGGGTATCATCACAGCAAACCTTCCAGCAGCCTCGGACTAGCTTATACTGTAGTGTTTGAGCAGAATGAAAGGTGAAGTTAGTTACAATGATTTATCTCGGACTTAAAAGGTATTTTCCTCCCCATGTTCATTGCAAAAAGAAACAAATGCTCCTTACTCTGTAGACTTCTTTGGTCTCCAAGTCCCACAATTTGATAGATCGACCAGCAGAAAGAAGCATCTTCCCATCAGGACTGATACACAATGAGCTCACACTGCTGTTGTCTCCTTTCCATTTGCTGGGGTGTTTTGAGAAAAACAGATCACATATTAATAAAACATTACACTCAGAATGCCCTGACAAGCAGAGATAACAGAACATTTAATATTTAATAGTTAATGTTTATAGTTTTCCAGCATGTTAAATAGAAGACTAATGAATATTTTAAGTATCCTTCTTGGACAATTTACATAGTTTGCCATATTTTGAATAACTTTAGACTTCTCAGTATTATTATTACTGATCCACCCTACAACTAAGGCAGCAGCTCGGAGGATAAGCTAATATATGTTAAAAGCTCGGCTGCTCAAAAGCAACATAATATACACAAACAGCAATGTAAGAAAGCATTGTTCAGCAATTCTAAACAGATTTACTAGAAAACAAACCTTATTGTATTCAGTGGAACTCGCTTCTGATAAAACATTCCTAAGACTGGGTGGTCAAGAGGCCAAATTACTCTCTTACACTTCCTCTGATAGAGCAAAGTTTTGCCATTCATTATCAAAAATTATTTTCACCTGCCATAATCTCATCAGATCTTGGAAGCTAAGCAGGGTAAGCCCTGGTTAGTAGTTGCGACTGGGAGACCACCAAGGAAGTCCAAGGTCTCTACAGAGACAGGCAAGGGCACACCACCTCTGAATGTCTCTTGCCTTGAACATTCTACAGGGTCACCACCAATATCTTCCCCATGGGTAGAACTTAATATCCACAAATTTAATTCTTCCAGAAATTCACACCCTTAAGACATAAGGAGCATTACATTTCTTGCTTGCCCCGCAAAAGGCTAAGAAAGGACCCCAAATCTCATATGGTATCAAAATGTGCCACTGCTACCTAAAACAGAAGCACGGTCATAAAAATAAAGATACATGCTCTGATTTATATGGCCGATCCCATCACATGTGTTTTTATTAGTGGTGCTGCTCATTTTGGCAAAGAGTAGCTAATAAATAGTTACAATAATCACCAATATATCTAATTTTCAACATGGCAAAATCTGTGAATACTTTAATCCAGAGGTTGGAGCCATGAACAGACAAGACAGATCTTTCTACAAACCTGAGGTTGCAGAAAAGTCAGAAATCTTTAATAAATAAATAAATATTGAGGATTAACACACACGCCCAAATAACAGGAGCAGAGCCTGTACCTTTAAGAAACAAGCATCCTCAGTGACCATTGCTAGACAGCTACAACAGCACTGCCAGCCTTCAAGCCTTTATTTCTGTGAGTAAAAACAGGGTCTTTTCCAGAGCTATTCTGGTTTCTGAAGGAAGAGTCATAGGGCCAGGCTCACCAGCAACCACCAGGTAACTTGCTTCCATGCAATCTGCATGACTCATCTAGGCCCAGCTGTTGGCTATTGTTAATAGCAGCAACCACACAGAAGCCAGTGTTGGTATAGTGGGGCATAGAGTTTTGAACTAGCATCTGGGAGACCCAGGTTTGAATTCCAACTCTGCCATAGAAGCTCACTGGGTGATTTCGGGCCTGTTACATATTCTCAGCCAAACATACCTCACAGGGCTGTTGCAAGGATAAAATGGAGGAAAGGAGAATAAGGTAAGCTGCTCTGAGTCCACATTGTGGAGAAAGTAGGGTATAAATGAAGTTAATATATCACAAAAATAGGTGAAGATAGGGGAGCAGATAAAAGAATGGTTGGAAAGTGGGAAGCAGAAAATGAAGAGAAAGGTGAAAATACAGGGGCTGCCAGAAGGAGGAAAAGAGGAAATAGTGTGGGGAGTGAGATAAAGTGGAAAGTGATGTGGCCCCCATAAGTCCTTGTGGATTCCCCACCATGCAACTGGACCAGGCCCAGCAGCAATGACCACGTAAGAGTTTTTCCAGGGAGACTGCAAGAAAAAACGCTGAATACAGGGAGGAAGGCTGACTGGTAGGAGAGAGAGAAGAGACACAAACAGGAAAATGGGGGAGGCTATGGGGGCTTTCAGGGAATGAAATCAGTGGGGGAGAGGACAAGAAAATGCCCCCCTTATGAGTCACCTTCTCAAAGGATGAAATATGTCATAGAGTTTTTTTAGTGCTCCCTCAAATTTCCCAATCTTTCCACCGGGAAAACTGAAAAAGCTCCAAGCCTAAGGAAGCGATTAGACTGGGCTTGCACCTACAAGGTGGTTCCGCTCTTACTACCATTCTGTTTCCCTCTATTTAAATCTATCACCATCTACCCTCAGCTATTATTTGGCCCATAGAAGAAAGATCTACGTAAATACATTTGTTCCCTCAAGACAAACGGGGGTGGGGGCTTGGATCAGAAAGGCAGTACAAAGAAAAAGGATTTCCCACCCCAAAGCTAGCTTTCCAAACGACAAAGGAGTCTGAAAAGTACACTGCCTCCTCACGCCTTTTCTCTTAAGCATTTTCATCCTACCCCATTCCTTTTAAAAAAACACCAGACCAATAGTCCAATCTTCCTACTCAAACTTCTCACTGATACAAATTACAACCTTGAACTTTTTCGAGTCACGTGAAGTTCTGCTGCATTCAGCCTGCTCAGACAGCCAAGAGAAAACTGACATCACTACATATCAGAAGTGAGTGAAACCAAGTGGGTGTCATCATGGCAGTATATTTTAAATAAGAGTACCTAAAAACTACATTTTGAACAAAAATGGAGGCTCTTGCTTTGAAAAGGGATTCCTATGCCTTAATTTACTTTTAATATCACCAGGAAGTCCCATGTCAATCCAAAATTTATATGCAAATTATTAGGTTCCTTAGGCGCCCAAGGATCAGGGAGACGTATAAAATCATACAAGATGTGGAGAAAAAAATCTCCACTACTACCAGAAAGGAGGGGGAGTATTTAAACATTTATACTCTGCCTTTCCTCATGGTTCAAGGCAGAACCCAGTTAAGTAGATGGACAGTAGTCTTAAACGCTAACAGTATCAGTGTAATCCTTCTGCTGAATAAATCTAAGCTTTCTGTGTTTATGAGAATTCTTGCTGTCTTATATGTACTGTAACACAGAAGAAACCATTCAAGAAAACACTTATTTTCTTCAACAGGAAGCATGCTCTGCAACTCCTTTAGCATACCTTCCAATGTCCTAGCAAAATACTGCGCTACTTCATCAGTGAACACTGCGCTACTGAAGCCTTGAGTCTGAGTGCCACCTGGCATGGTAAGATACAGAATTCCACCTAAGCTAAAGTGATATGAGAATGGAAAGAAAAGAAGGGAGAACAAGAAGCATCAACAGCTTTTAGTACAAGCTCAGGCTCACCATTTCACTTTGCATGTCTGTGTGTTCCATTCCACAATATTTTTGTCATCTGAACAGCTATATAAGCAACCATTGTCTTGATGCCACCGTACACAGTTTATTTTATTGTCATGGCCGTTCTAGATTAAAAGAAAAAAGCTATTAGCAGGAAAACACCACCTCTTTCCTGGGTTTGGACCAATAACGTGTCCATGCTACTTTTCTGTGGCCAGTTCAAGATGCTTTACATTAGCACTAGCTTTACCGCGCCTTTTAGGGTTGTCAGGTGCCTCCTGGCCACCAGCGAGGAATGGGGAGGTAGGGTTGGCAGATCCAGGTTGGGAAACTCCTGGAAATTTGGAGATGGTGCTTGGGGAGGACAGGGACCTCAGTGGGGTACAATGCCATTGAGTCCCACCTATTGCCCTCATGAAGTACTTTAGCAGCAAAAGGAGCACTTGTAACCTGCATGCCCGTTAAACTTACACCAACTCTTCTCCTTTCCACAGAAGTACACGGACTTGTTGCTGTTATATGCAGTTCAAACCTCAACAGCCATTTATACTGTGTAAATGTATGTAGATCTTTTGGCTTTGTATTGGATTTCATAGTTTCATCCTTCTCTATGTAATAAGATGCTATTATTTAATAGATTTTTTTACTGCCCTCCTCGCAAAGTGGGCTCAGGTAAACCAAATTTCTATTGCAATGTTTTCTGAGACATTTATTCAATTTATCCACTCTGTTCTCCATCAACTGTCTTATTCTAAATCTCTTCCCATTATTTAAAACATTTATTAGCCCTTGTATCAGAAATTTGCTGTAATTCTTGTATCTCTTGTTGGTTGCCTTTTCAAGTTCTCACACAAGTATTTTAAGGGTTACCTTCTTAAGAAGGGAACACGCAGGAGGTATAATATGGGCTTATGACTAATTGCAAGGGGTGCAAAGGATTATGTTTTATGCATTTAGATCAAGCTGGGTAGCCATGTTAGTCTGTCTGTAGCAGAAGAAAATAGTAAGCACCTCAAAGACTAACTATGAGCTTTCGTGAGTCACTGCTCACTTCTTCAGATATCTGAAGAAGTGAACAGTAACTCACGAAAGCTCATAAAGTCAAATATTTTGTTAGTCTTTAAGGTGCTACCAAACTCTTGTTTTATGCATTGTTATCCTTTTAAAATTATGTTCCAGACTATTAAATGTTTTTAAAAATAAGCCCCTTAGTTAAAAGGCTGGGTAAAAAACCAATTTGGCTTGACATCTAAAAGAAAGTTGTGCAGGTGCAGGGTAGGCCTCAAGTGGAAAGGCATTCCAAAAGTGAGCTGCTGCCACCACTGGAAAATAGCTGTCTCTTACGTAATCCTGAACTTGGCCGCAGAATGCTGATTCCTTAAAATCTGCGCAGGGGAACCACGTACAGAAAAGAGAGATGTTTCCTAAATCTGGCGGAAATACCCGGCTTGTAGAAAAATCCCAATGCTTAAGAAAAACAGGTTTAAAAACAACAACAACAACAAAAATGCCAAACAAGATCTTACCACTTATACTATGAGATCTTGGCACCAACTTGGCCAGAGCTGGCTTACGGCAAAAAGCATAGCCAGCACATTTTCTGCTCCAAAATCACTCCCCTCCCCACTAGGTCAGGGGCCTTCAGGAGAGAAGAGAATGGGATGTCCCCTACTGTGCAAGTCTTTGGAGGTCTCTTGCTTGATATACCTCTGTCATTGCTTACCTATTTGGTCAGACATCAGTAAAGGGCATTCTATAGTCACAACTGGGTAACCTATGAAACACCTTCTTAATTGAACTGCATTAGCTGACACTTTGAAGGAGATTTAGAAGGCACAATGCCATCTATAAAAACCCACTTAGACATATCCTTAACATTGTGTCACCAACTATTCCTCACTGTTACTTCCTGTCTTTTATTTTGGACATTTATTATAGGTTACCTTTTGCTTTAAAATGCCAGTATCTCCCCTTAACTTTTACCAATGAGCAAGATACTGTTATACAAAAATTTAAAAAGTTCTTGAAATTTGAATACATTCTTTTGCTATATATACATCTCATCTATTATGAACGCCACTTCTAGCTAAAATGGTGATTAAATGATTTCACACAAAGCATAATCAAGCCAGGTTGTAATGAACATCAAGGGGAAAAAATTAATTATAAGACAACAACACTGGTATAATACTTACTAGTTTGCTCTGTAATTCTCCTTTTATTGTGCTGTATAATAAAATGCTGCCAACAGCAGTTCCAATAGCCAAAAGATCTAACTGTTCACCAGCTTCTACGGCTTCAGATTTCCTCTTCTTCCTCTGAGGACCTTCCTGTAAAGAAATTCAATATAGTCAGAAGATAGAAATAGTCTCAGTAGCTATGTTAAATGAGAATTTTTAAAGACAAGGTACATTCACTTTCTTGAGGGTCACAGTGCTATGTAAAAGTTGCATTTTTGTTACAAACCTATGTAAACTTTCACATTGAAGCAGCCATGTTTTCACTTCAAAGCACCTCAAAGCAAAATCAGTGGATGATCAAGTAACTTTGGATTTTTCACATGGAAACCTGAACTGTTACCTTTCTCTAATTGCAAAACAAGGCCTGGATCCAAATATGTGACCATGTTGTGTGATCAGTGAAAACTTGCTAAATGACATTAAAGAATCTGTCCATCTCTCTCTTTTGCTCATGGTGCTCCTTGCTTTAAGAGGATGCCAGTTTATTTGAAAACATGGGGCTACTAAAAGGTAAGCAGTCAATTTTTTTTCATCTAACCAAGCAATGAGCATCCTTACTTGCCATTACATCATTTTGTTATATGGACGCAGTGGTCTAGAAGTTCTTTTTATTCTCTCCCTACTAATCAAGAAGCTCTGTCTTAACTCTAATGCCTCTGAATATAGCATTGCATCTAACTATGAATTTCTGACTCTCCTCTACAGCATCATACAAAGGAGACATTCAAATGACCGCCTATGAACTCACTGTATTAAATCCTACAAATTTTTCGTATAGATGCAGGTATTTCCTCAGTGTTGTTCTTTACTTCATTTACAGACTGTCTTTTTGGAGGGAAGCATCCATGTCCACAAATACTTCCACTAATCCATGTCCACTAAGCCATCATGCTTAGTGTTTGTAGGATCCAACGCCCTGAGCTGCCATTAATATCTGAAGACTATTTTCTCAATCCCTTACATTAGTAAAATCTATTTACAATACTGATACCTAAGCCATGAGAACTGATGTTTGCATCTGTCAGATACACTCTTGAATTCCAATATCTATGGTATCCCAAAGTAGAATCTCATAGTTCATTCTTACAGATTGTAGACCAGTTTAGAAAGAAGCAAGTATGCACAAAGATGCCAACAAAAACACATTCTAAGTGTAATTTTTAACATTTCTTCGTAAATTAAAATTTAGGATCTCATTTTTAAGATTTAATTTTGATAGATCAACATTCCAAAACAGCGGTTTTCCAATATATCGTACTTGGTTTTTCCAAATATACCGATTCACAGTTGTCACAAGTTGTCTCAGAGAAGCTGTCAACAAATTCAGTTAAGCGCTTGGGTTTTCAATCCTAAACATGATTACTTTTAAGCAAACATTAATACAAACAGATTTACAAGTCCACAAAGACAACAAAACTATCTAGTAATTTGGCATGAACATCTAAACTTAGGCACTGCTCTTATCTATATAAAAAAAAGCTTTCTAGAAAATACCTTACAGGTTTCAAATGTCAACACACAAAGCTCAGTGCCAAGTAAAAATACTGACAGACAAAAGAAAGCACATTCCTTTTTTTTAAACTTGTTTATTTTGTTATTTTATAAACCACAATTTTTACAAAAATACAACTCTTCTAACCTTTAACGAACAGAACACAAAACATTTGTTACATAACACCCTTTACATTTCGAATCTTTAGGTACAATCCTCACTGAACAGTCAATAAAACATGAAGTCTAAATATTTCTTAGGTACTGAGCAGATCTTATTTGTAGAGTTAGTAATAAATTCACAAAAAGAAAACCATCTTTTCAAAAAGTTTGTGAATGTTTTAATATTGTCATTTGCTGCTATCTGGGAAGCCAATTTGTCTGTGACCGCCAAGTCCCATACCTTCATATACCATTGACTTACAGTCAGAATTTTCTCCGATTTCCCATTTTGAGCTATCAAAGTTTTTGCTGCTAAGGATTAACAGAAGATATGTTTTATTTCCTAATTTTTTATTGTCTGACCAATGATTTAAGAGTATATATTCAAGAGTAAATGAAATCTTAAAATCTAAGATTTTCTCTGTATGTCCTAATATTTGTCTCCAAAACTTGGCAATCACAGGACAATCCCACCAACAATGTTTAAATGTTCCAATACCACCACAACCTTTCCAACATTGTGGGGCTACATTAGGTATTAAATGAGTTAACCTTTGAGGTGTTAAATACCATTGGGAATAAACTTTAAAATTTTGAAGTTTAATGTTCAATGCATTAGTTTTAAACAGATAACTAGAGCAAATAGACTCCCATTGATCTTTATTTAGATCTAATCCACAATCACTTCCAAGGTCAACGTTAAAAATGGATTTTGTTGCTCCGATAAATTCCTACTTTTAGGATGATTCCAAATTTTTTCATATAGTAAACCCGATTGTAAATAACTTTGTTCTATAAACACCCAAGTCTTTGTAATAGTGGGTTGTGCATAATACATTGTGGCCTTAAGTTGTGCTGCATTGTAGTATTGTTCCAAATCTGGAAAGCCAAGCCCTCCTTGTTTTGCCGGCTTAGTAGATGTTTCATTATTAATTCTAGGTTTTTTATTAGACCAGATAAATTTAGAAAAATAATTTTGCCATGATTTAAATGTGTCATTAGGTATTTTCGTTGGTATATTTTGAAAAAGAAAAAGGAATTTTGGAAAAATAAAGGTTCTGATTGATTCGATTTTTTCTAATAATGATAAATTTTGTTTACTCCATTTATCCAATAAATCTTTTACTTCTGTGAACAGTGGTAAATAATTAGTTATTTAAATCTTGTAAATCCAATGGAATTTGCATTCCCAGATATCTGTTTTTTTTAACCCATTTAAAAGGGTATTCCAGTGTTATTTTATTTCGTAATTCTTGGATTAAAAAAATGGGGGAAATTTCTGATTTTGTATAATTAATTTTAAATCCGGAGACTTTGCTAAAATTATTAATTTGGTTCATTAAATGCGGTAACGACGTGTCAAAGTTAGTAATATAAAAGACCGCATCATCAGCGTAAAGACTTAATTTATAAGTAGCGCCTTGGATCTGCATTCCAGAAATGTAAATATCATTACGGACAGCATGTGCTAAGGGTTCCAAAAAAATTGTGGAAAAAATAGGAGAAAGGGGACAGCCCTGCCTAGGGCCTCTAAAAAAATTGTGAAAAAAATAGGAGAAAGGGGACAGCCCTGCCTAGTGCCTCTGGTTAAATTTAGTGGGTCTGATCTATAAGAATTATTTGTTATTTGGGCTATAGAGTTTTTATCGATGGCGTTAAATGAGTTAAAAATATTTGGACCAAAATCCATATGTTGAAGAATTGCCAGCAAAAAGGGGATTTCAACCTTGTCAAACGCTTTTTCCACATCAAGCGCTAATAACAGAGAGTTAATTTTATTTAATTTCCCATGATTGATAAGATTTAAAGTCTTCCTAATATTCTCATTTATTGATCTATTGGGGATAAATCCTGACTGGGCAGGATGTATATAATTAGATGTAATTGTATTTAAGCGGGAGGCCTAAACTGAAGAAAATAATTTAAAATCATGTTTTAAAATTGAAATCAGATGGTAAGATGCTGTCTCTAATTTGTCTTTATTAGGTTTGTGTAACACTATGATTTTCGCTTCCGAGTTAAATTTAGTGGGTCTGATCTATAAGAATTATTTGTTATTTGGGCTATAGAGTTTTTATCGATGGCGTTAAATGAGTTAAAAATATTTGGACCAAAATCCATATGTTGAAGAATTGCCAGCAAAAAGGGGATTTCAACCTTGTCAAACGCTTTTTCCACATCAAGCGCTAATAACAGAGAGTTAATTTTATTTAATTTCCCATGATTGATAAGATTTAAAGTCTTCCTAATATTCTCATTTATTGATCTATTGGGGATAAATCCTGACTGGGCAGGGTGTATATAATTAGATGTAATTGTATTTAAGCGGGAGGCCTAAACTGAAGAAAATAATTTAAAATCATGTTTTAAAATTGAAATCAGATGGTAAGATGCTGTCTCTAATTTGTCTTTATTAGGTTTGTGTAACACTATGATTTTCGCTTCCGAACAAGATTTAGGGACGATACCTTGCATTACAAGTTTCAACTAGTTCTGGTATTAATATTTCACTAATTTTTTTATAAAATTCACTAGGCAACCCATTATTGCCCTGTCACGCCGGGGGTCCTCCCCTGAGGGGAGGGGCGCCTCGGCCGTGTCGACTTGCGTCCCACAGGGGAAGCCAGAGCCTCAGAATTGAAGTGGAGAGAGTTGCACCACTCTCAACAACACTTCCCAGCGTTGACAGCTCACGTGGGTTTCGCTCTCTCTCTATTCCTAGGCTTGTCTCCTCCGACCTTCCTCCCCGGCTCTTTCGGCTTTCCCGTATTTATAACCCCCCACCCGGCG